AAAGTTATATATTGTATAAGACTATCTCCAGTAAACTTTCTGCTGTCAAAATTTCTTTTTAAGATTCGTTACATATTTTTAAACGATGTACCGGATTCAGCTAACTCACAGTTCAGTCACTACTACTAGTAATAATTTATTTTGATATTGCAAAACCGGTGATAATGACAGTTTATATAAACTTTCCGTAATAGATAAACCGGGGTAAAAAACCTGCGATGTTAAATCACAAAGCCATACTTATTCGCTTATATATATGTGACATACGCGAGTATTGGGGGCCGATAATAACAATATGTAGTACATAGAATGTCAACCAACTTGAAGTAACTGCGCTTTAGCATACCATATAAAGCAAAGTTCTCATTTCTGCTATGCGGGATATAGACACACCACAATGGTACTTCAATAGACATCACATAGTGAATGTTGCCTGTTCTTACCTCATTCTTATGCTGCTCCATTTAATGTTGTCCAAGGGAGCAGACCAACTAAAAAATTCCAAAAAAGCAACAACAAAAAAATTGAGCCAGAATAGGAAGTAAAAATTAGTTGTAGTAAATTTTTGTTTCAAAAATGAAAATAATTAAAATATTAGTTTTTTTCTCATTTTCGTTCGAAAGTTTTTTCCTTTTAAAGGAAAATTATGTCTAGCGGTGGTTTATACATTCAAATATTTTTTTTTGTCATATTCGGTATTGACTGCGATACAGTTGTGGTCATAATTGCTTTCCAGCAGCTCGGCATGATAACGTGCATATTCGACCAATATCAACTCGGACTACACCCAGTCATACCCAATCAATTCGAATGCAATCGAGTTAGCTGCTACAGCAAGTCTCCTTTCATTCATTCAAGATTGAATGTTTAGCCAAATATTTGTTTTGTTATGTTGACAGCTGCAATTGCTGCTGCTCCTGCTACTGCTCCTGCTGCTGCTGCTGTCCCTGCTACTGTTGCTGATGCCACTGCTGCAAAATGCAAACTCCAACTTTCGATTTGTTAATTTTGTACGTCAAGTGCTATTGGATTGAGTGAATTTCCGGTAGAGTTGCGGTAGAAACCTCCGAGTGATCAATTCTTTAGCTAATGCAATAATAATTTCCAAAGTTCAGTTCTTTAGAATATTATTGAAAAACATTGTAATTGCCAAGTTTACTTTTATTTCTATTCTGTTGCTTATGCCAAAATTGTACATTCGCTTAATCAAATACATACGGGGTTAGCTTAATATGTCTTTACAATGATAACATTATTGAACGATGAGAGAGAGCGAAGAAAAAAGACAAGCACGTATACTTTTAAAAATATTGTTGTTGTACGGTCAATGTAGATTGAGGTTGATGAGAAGCGGCAACAAACGATGCTTTTTTAATAGTGCAAAATAACAATAGTAATATTTTCAAAACTGCTGGAGATCAATGAAGATTTCTTACTAAATTGTTCTTACACACCTTTTGTCAATGTTTATAAAAGTTTTGTTTTGTCTATTTCATATCCACTTCAAACGTTTAAAGTAACAACTTTGGATTTTCAATTCAAAAATCGGCTTAAAAGTTTCAGTAAAATAGTTTTCTTCCACATTGTTCTTCCATGATGTCTTGGACGACTTTATCGGTTTCAGGTCGATGTCAGACCTGAAGATGGTAATTACACTGTACACTATATATTACAGTATATATCACATTAAATATCATTTTTAAAGCCAATTATGATAAAAGAAACCTATATTATTGATAGTGTAGAATAGTTAGAGTTTTTAAATAGTAGTAAATAACAAGAATCAATTTTATTTTAATTATTTCTGTTTTTGGGTGACCTTACAACTGTTGAGAGTATTGCTAAATTTTCATCATGATCTCTCTCTCTCTCTCTCTCTCTGAAATATTTGTTGACTTTTGAAGCCCATATATTATTGTTAGATTCTGTTTAGTGTTTATTGGATCACTGATTTTCATGATCAGTAGTCTCAGGAATATATATTTCAGATGTATATTTCAGATACAAAGACAATTCGGGTAGTTGAACTTATACACTTATACAATCTACACTTCGTTGATATTCGTATTTCCCTTGCAACGGGTAAATATCAATTAAACATAAATACATAGGATTGGCAACGAAAACCAAGGTAGTTAGAAATTCTTGTCAGTTCATAAGTCTATATTGGATAAAATTCATATTAGTCAATTGCTCCGACTAAAACAAAACTCACGTAGTACTATAGTATCTGTTATAATAATAATTATAACCATGGGTAGATGAAAATACTTATCAGATCATGGAACTCACCTAGTCTAAACCAGATAAAATTCGTAACACTCAGTTGTTTCAACTAAAGCAAAACCAACTTAGTACTATGGTATCGATGATAATAGGTGTATTAGGAAAATATGCAATAAGATTTCATCTTTCTTTAACGACTTTTATCGGAATTAGGACGCTATGAATGACGAGAAATCTTTACATAACCTAATATTATATTGTCTATTAATGGCTAAGAGAAGTAAAAAAATCTTTAAGGTCTCTTTGGAGCTGTAAATTTTTAAAATTAGAGAAATATCACGATTTCTGGAATCGTTAGGTTGGTTAGCTTTTACTTAAATGGGTAAACCATGCCATCATAAAGGCACCGTTCGTTTATGTATCAGACTGCTATATTTAAGATAGTTTTTCAGGTCTGGAGTGTGGTCGATGTATCATCACAACGGGTCATTATTTGTACTTAAATAGGTTTTGGTGCACAAAACGGCCACTTCAACCTAGTTCCTAATTTCACTTTTAATAATTCTTATATGAATATGCCTTTCATTAATAACTGATACAGTTCTAGAGCTTTTCAAATTCATTCTATTTCAATTAGGAGTAGTAAAAATATTTGCTTAAGCGAACCTTTTTAAAAGTATGCCCGTAGTAATATTTACTAAAATTCATATGATAGTTCGATATCCTCGGCTTATTACTTAATATTTCGAAGGACCACTTTTTATCACTAAAATATGAAAACTCCTTTAAACGGTACGACCAAAAATTTAAAGTTAATTTTAGTATTCATTTTAACTTAAAAAAGAATACGATGAACCGTACCGAGTAGGAACACTCTCGTAGTTAATATGCAATAGTCCCATTGTTCTGCACGCTAAGGTCACTACATATTGCCAAACTTCCAATATTTTATTTCATTTTTTGCCTCCCAATCGTATCATTTTATTGTTAAGCACATCAAGAATAAATGTAAGGTTATCATTTCTATAGACAGCCAAAAGGCAGTTGCGGATCTTCAATTTTTCACTATTTAATCAAAGCTAGTCAACAGAGAGCGAGTGTCTCTGTATGAAATCGACTCACTGACATCACTCTCACCTCGGTGAGAGAGGTGACTCTGACTTTCCGCAACTCTGTAGACTCATTGCAGAGACTCTGTGGACTCTCCGCAACTCTGTAGACTCTCCGCAACTCTGTAGACTCTGTAAATCAGCTGTCCCAAATTCATTACAGTCAGGGATTAATATTTGGAATATGTTGACCTATTATAGTAACCTCGTTAGTTATTTATTAATAAGGAAACTATTTTCGAAGCTTATTAAAATTAAAGTTAAAATATTTTTCATATTATAACACGTCTTAATAGTTTATTAGAAAATATGGTATTATTCGTTCTGTTTTTTTTTTTGTGTTTCGTTTAACTCTGCAGGTTTCGGTGTGGATGGGCAAAACATACTGAAATTCACACAGGAAACGTCAAATAAACCAACAAACAATTTTATTTTCCTTTTTTATTGCTAAATTATTTTTCAACTATTTTTGTTGGCAAGAAGTTTTGATGTCTGTCAGATGTTTTGGCTGATTTTCCACTTTCTTTTACGGTTTTGCGCTGAAAGTTATTTGCACACTGCATGTGCGAAAATGCAATTTTCATCTTCGAAGCGTGAAATCAACTTTTCAGGATTAAAAATTGGCAATGCATAAACCAAACTAATGAAGAAAGATGTCGTCTTTTTTTCACACAGTTTATTGAATTCTGTATCTCAACCGAGACACTCATACATTATGAAAAAGTTCACTTAAATTTAGATGAATTTAAGACCTAAGAATATAAAGAGAAATTTTAAATTGAAATACTAAAATTTATTTATTGTAAGTAATATTTTCTATAAAGAATTGTCTTATCTGTATGATATTATTCCCTTTCAATATCAGGATACAACACTTACTCACTTGTACGAATGGAAAAGAGCATAACCAACTGCTATACAAACAATATCTCCTCGCGTGCCCCACTGATGAATAGACATCATCTAGGTAGAGCCCTCCCTAAACATGCATACGTCTATCAATTTCTTCACATCAGAGATATATCGACACTTATTTCAATAAAGTTAACACCAGTGAGCTCGAATATAAATGTGAACTTACTACTCTCCACACAGATATAGTATTCTCTTCCAGGCATACTTACACTACAACAAAGTTTGCAATAGGTTTCCGACTTTGATATTTCCTAGGGGAGGAATGGCTACCCTTGAAGCAAGAACTGTCCTAGATCAGTTGAAAGCAGGATATAGCCACGTGTTAAAGAGTTACTTGCCACGCGCATAAATGCATCTTTTCTTAATGTGTATTCCAACTGCAGCTTTACCCCTCATTGACGTTGACCATCTGTTTTCCTGCCCTAATGCGCACAGAAACTCAAGTTCAATCAACATTTGATTCGTTCTTTAGAAATGCCTCGGTTTTTTGTCTTGACCTATTAGACTTCAATTTAAATCCCACCTATACCCCAATTCATTTTTTCTTTCTAATATTTCTCTTTCCACTCACACAGCTATTATGCATCCACTTTCCAACCCATGTATCCGTCATGTAAATCCTTTAATTTTATTTATTTTACAGATTCCTATGGACTAATACAACAACAAATATTATATAGATATCTACGAGAGATAAAATACAAATATCTTAAATATATACTCATACCTTTGTTTTTACTTATTTTACAGCTTCAGACGCCGATCCAAAGACAATTTTGCAAACAGCCACCACTGCCGTGCATATGCGATATAACTTCTTTGAAACAACCATTCAGATCGAAGACTTCACCCCTGATATGGAGAACTGTAAGCAGTGTTCAGTGCCAGACAAATAGAATAAAATACGGACCATATAACACAAATTAGTCTAATAATGTCTTTTATATATATACAAAAATAAATGAAAAAATAAATATATATATATATGTAATATTCATATTCATAATTAAATAAATTAAATATAAAGAGTATATATATTAATAAAAAAAACATATAAAAAATATTAATAATTAAATTATATTTAACAAATAAATGAAAAATATGGCCAGACACTCTGAAAAAACACTTCTTCCTATTTATTATGTTTATTACTATTTTTTTGCTTTTTTTTTGTTTTTGTTTAGAAAAATATTAACAATATAACTTTTAATATTGCAATTATATAGTACTAAGTATAAGCCATATTTATGTATACATATATATATTTACAATTTGTATAATTGATTTTTTTTCTAATTTAATAAAATATAAGTGTTTCAATATAAAACTTAAATGCCTTGATTTAAATATATATATATAAAATATATATTAATCTTTTATATATATATAAAGTTTTCATTAAGACACAAATAGGGAAGAAGATTTTGTAGAGCCAAATACGATCCACATTTATAGCTTATAAATGGAATATGGACTAGACGCTGAAATATTGTTAACTGAAAATAAAGGAAAAATATATTTCATCTTACGAGCTTGACCAGTGTCGGTTAACCTGAAATACTTGCTATTAATAAAGCAGCTCTATTAATTTCAGAAAAAATTAACGATTACAATTAGCAGTCTCTCTTTCAGTAGAGCTCGTTCTCTATTCAACTGTGTTCAGTGTTTGAATTAGGTTGGGATGGAATGGCGGCTTTACATACCAAAACTCACTTGAGCACAAATAATGGCATCTTATGATTTCAAGGGAATTCAGTGAGTAATATCACTAGTTTAAATTTCAGACTACTGAGGCAAGAAATTAAATTATTAAATTATTAAAATTTTTTTTTAGATCCCAGAACCTAAATGGAAAACTATATTGCGCTGCGAAAAAAACTCAAACAAATATGAACAAGCTACCTATTTTTTCATGAAACAATGATGAACAATAATTATAATCCTATAAAGTAGTTCCAAAAAACTGGTTATTGAACTTTCAAGTCGGAATTACAGAAACTACAGGAAAAAATGATAAGTTGTATGAGTACGTAGTTATCTGTAATTAATTTTATTCTAGGTAAAATAGGTTTAATTTAAATTCTGGAGCTTTGGAACAGATTTTACAAAATGATTGCAGAAAGCATCAACAGATACTAGTTACACATATAGTTGCATATATACAAGTAACTTTATTTATAATTTATAAATCATGAATAGATCATTTTATAGATCATAAATTAGCTCCACATATTTCAGAGATCAGAGCATTTAATTCAGTAAAAATCGAATAAAGATATTGGACTTATTTTCTGTCATTTAATTTCGATAAAATCGTTCAAAACTTAGAACATATTTCTTCAGTAAATAAGTAAAAATCTAATAAAGCCTTTAAGTTCCAGGTCACCGATCTCCTGTGATTCGATGAAAATGGTATTACTTTTTGAATGTATAAATGTATATTCTGCATAAATAAGTATAGTATGGCCACGATTAATGCAATTAATAGAATTCGAGGGTGTTGCAATAGTCGAGGTTGTTGCAATAATCGAGTTTAGTTTGTTTAGTGCAACCAAAATTTTTATATCATATAAAGAGTTATTAACACAAAGTTTATTAGAAAATAATATGATTATTTTTATTTATAACAACATTATTGCAATCATATTTGATAATTCCCACGATATTTTTGATTTTACGTGCAATTACATGGCCTCAGTTTTCGAGTCTGAATCGATGTCAAGTTGTTCGCTCATCCATTTCTTGATTAGAAAGAACATCTGAAATAATTTCATGATTTCATAATATTCTTTTGCAGCGAGAGTGTGTTCGAAAATTCTTTTGATTGAGTATAGGGGAGAAATATAATATTAAGAATGCAAAAGAGGAAAATAATTAGAAAAAGAAAAAGTTACAAATTTAAGAGGTTGCAATAACCGAGAAGTTGCGATATTCGAGGGTTGCATTAATCGAGGCCATACTGTATTTCTTGAATAAATCAATAAATTTCTGACAGTGCTGTCCTATCAAATGCTTCTCACAGGAAAAACTTAAGAGGTTGCAATAACCGAGAAGTTGCGATATTCGAAGGTTGCATTAATCGAGATCATACTGTATTTCTTAAATAAATAAATAAATTTCTGACAGTGCTATTCTATCAAATGCTTCTCACAGAGAAAATTTAAGAGGTTGCAATAACCGAGGAGTTGCGATATTCGAGGGTTGCATTAATCGAGGTCATACTGTATTTCTTAAATAAATCAATAAATTTCTGACAGTGCTATACTATCAAATGCTTCTCACAAGTAAAATATAAGAGGTTGCAATAACCGAGAAGTTGCGATATTCGAGGGTTGCATTAATCGAGGCCATACTGTATTTCTTGAATAAATCAATAAATTTCTGACAGTGCTATCCTATCAAATGCTTCTCACAGGGAAAACTTAAGAGGTTGCAATAACCGAGGAGTTGCGATATTCGAGGGTTGCATTAATCGAGGTCATACTGTATTTCTTGAATAAATCAATAAATTTCTGACAGTCCTATCCTATCAAATGCTTCTCACAGGGAAAACTTAAGAGGTTGCAATAACCGAGGAATTGCGATATTCGAAGGTTGCATTAATCGAGGTTATACTGTATTTCTTAAATAAATAAATAAATTTTTGACAGTGCTATCCTATCAAATACTTCTCACAGAAATTATCAGTATAACTACTCACATGACATTGGCAATATTTCCATTTTAATTAATTTAATTTTAAATGAAGGGAAAATTTTTATTTGACTTAATTGAAAAATAAATTTCACAATTACTTCAACTTAATTTAATGAAGAATCGAAAAAGCAAGCAGGAAAGTTAATTATTTTGCTGGAAATTAACATAAAATAACACAGCGGAGAAAATATGTTGTATAAGATGGAAAATGAATGTCGGCTTTCCGGAAAACAATAACAAAAAGGAAAACAGCAACGTTAGCTGCAGTATTGTTTGCAATTCTGCTTATTTCCGCGCCAGTTTTCTTTAAAGTTTTTGTTTATATTGTGATATTTCGCTTTATTTTTATATAGATTTTTTTTTCCAGAATTTTTTTCTTTATCCTTTAAAATTAATCCTTTCTGGCTTTTAATTTCAGGTAATGAGTTGGTAAATAACGTCAAGCATGCTTGCTTCTTTCAAACTTTCTATTCCACGTTGTTTTTAGTCATCGGTTTGTGCTTTTGTGCTTTTTATTATGTTATTTTGTGTTTTCCTATTACGTTGCACCCCGTTTTCTTTGGCTCTTTAATGCTATTTTCGAATTCACTTTTGATCCTTGATACCTTGCGAGAGTTATCCGGCAGTTGTGATTTATTGCTGTTGCTTACAATGTTGACATCTTGTGCACTTGCAACCGAACTAAGCTCATCCTTGCATTTGCTTACACAGTCCGTCCTCTTGGAGTAGTTGCATATTTTTGCACAGATTATTGCATTAATAATATTGTTTTTCTGAAAAATATTAATAACTCAAATCAAATAACCACCCTATTTGCATTTCAATTATAAGAAATTTTAACCTCAAATTGATTGGTAACAAAAGAATGCAAAATGATTTTTTGCTATCTGTGACTAGACTGCATCCGGCTATAGAATAGACAAATCTTAAAAATAAAATTAATTTTATCTTTTATGTACTGTACATTATAATAAAAGTTATGCCTTACCTCGGGTATTTCCGAACCACAGATTTTTTTTTTTTTGATAGTAAGTGGAAGCATCGAAAGCCACTGTGTGAGACTTGAATCCACTAAACCACCTCTTAGGAATGAATGGAGAAGACTTCCACAGAATTGTGAAAATTTGATTTCAGTAATCAGGGGAGAGAGTAGAAAAATAAGACTTAGTACTAGCGAGCTAGATTTATCTATGCCAGAAAGCAAGGGAGTACATTAGGCAAATTGGGTTATAGGGAGTAGGGAGTAGGTTAGAGCAGATGAGCGGTGGCGGGGTTAATTTTGTGACTGGGGTCCGAACCAAGGATAAAATTTAATGTATATTAAATATCTTACATATATATAAAGCGCTTGAATGTACAGTACGTAATGCAAGAAAATAAGGATATTTTTTTCTTTTACGTACTGTACATTATAGTAAAAGACATACCTTACCTTAAGAATTTTCAAATCATTTTACCAAGAGTGAAAGTTAATGTACACTAAATATCTTGCATATATATATATAAGGGGCTTTAATGTATAGTACGTAATACAAGAAAATAAAGATAATTTTTTGTTTAATGTACTGTACATTAAAACCCATTTAATATAAAAGCTAAATCGGTGTATATATTCAACAATTTAACTAAATAACATTCCCATACCACAAGCAGGTAATATAACGTACTTAGGTATTCACCTAGACAGACGACTAAATTGGAGCAAACGTATTGAAGCCAAAAAAATTCAGATGAAGCTTCAAGCCTCTAAGTTGCATTGGCTCATTAATAACAGATCTTCTCTATGTCTAAATTATAAAAGACTCTTGTATGATAGCATCATAAAACGAATATGGACTTATGGTATCCAGCTATTTGGCAATGCTAGTGCTTCAAATATTGAAATTATCCAACGAGCTCAGTTAGAAATATTGAGAATAATCACTGGTGCCCAATGGTATATAAGGAATGAAAGTATACATTGAGATCTACAAATTCCACTAGTTAAAACTGAATTTGACAATATAAGAAAAAAATACAATAAAAGGCTGACATAACATATTAATCTCCTAGAAAGAAATCTCGCACATCTATCCACTACTTCCCGCCTAAAAAGAGCTGACCGTCCAGCCATTAATTAATATTCAATAGCTTGAAGTAAAACCCGCACCTTTCTTTTAAGTAATCTGATAAAGTTGAACTGTTTTCTTAATAAACCACCTAACATTTACTCCGATGAAATTTAATCCATTGTTCTAAGTGAAGTTCGTGATATAAGGTCTAATT